TTGTCCCTGAAGGTTTCCAGTACCTCACTGTTTAGAGGAAGACAAATAATAACAACCAATGCAAACAATTTTATAGCATTAAACCAAATAGTTCCTACTATGAAGTCTACAGTGTTAATTATCGCAATACACAGAAATGATGTGTTCAGTTATTGTCTCCAATAAAAATGGCAAGTTTGCAAAAGGTTTTATAATTTCAAATGGTGGACAAGGAGAGAACAGAAGTGATACAGGATGTGATGATTATGAAGGAGGAGGAGAAAAGAAGAAGTAAAAAGTTAAAGGAAGAGTGAAAGAACAATAGAGATTGACTGTTAGCAGAAGAAAAGACAAAAACAGAATCAAAGGAAACAGCTAAGAGAATATATATATATAATATATATATATATTAAAAATTTTTTAAATAAAAATAAAATAATACAAAACAAAACTAAACTATACTAATGAAATATCCTAGTCCTCAAACAATGAAAATAACTGACTTCAAAAATGCTAGAAATGAAATTTTTAAAAAATGCTAGAAATGATTTAAAGAAAACAAATGTCAGTATGTATGAATGTCCATGTACCATTAAGGTCACAATTAAACAGAGAAAAGGGGAAGAGAGAGAGAGAGAGAGAGAGAGAGAGAGAGAGAGAGAGAGAGAGAGAGAGAGAGAGAGAGAGAGAAACCAATGAAAAGTTAAAGAATTCTTTCTGTTGGAGTTCAAAAGTTTCTCAGCTTCTCAGCAGTCTTAGGTGGGGTCCTCTGGAGTTTAATGATCCACCCTCTGGATTGCTGGAGTGAGAGAGGTAATCTCATAGGCAGAATTCCTGGAGGCAAGGTTTAGGCTTAGGTGGGCCAATTGGTCTGGAGATTTTAAATCTGTGAGCCACCAGGGCCCAGTAATTGCCAGTCTATGCTGGAAGACTGTAGCCCAGGATCTCCCCTGGGTTCCACTCATATAGTAGGGAAACACTATATGATTTTTTTTAAAGAGAGAGACAGAGAGAGAGAGAGAGAGAGAGAGAATGAATTCTTTTAATATTTATTTTCTAGTTTTCGGTGGACACAACATCTTTGTTGGTATGTGGTGCTGAGGATTGAACCCGGGCCACACGCATGTGAGGCCAGCGCGCTACCGCTTGAGCCACATCCCCAGCCCCACTATATGATTTTTAGGACGGCCCTTCTGCATGCTATAGCAAATGCCCTGTGAACATATAGTGGGGGACCCAATTCTTAGTTACCTATGTCACCTGCAGCCCCGTGTTTCCTGGTCTTGGGTTCAGTCTCTAAATTCAATCTCTCCCATTCCTACCCCTCTAAATTCCCTGCCAGATGCACCTCTCCCAGCCAGTCCAGCAAGCAGCCAGCAGGTGGGGGAGTGGGAGAGCTGGGTGGGTTTCCAGGACCAGTTGTCCCCTGTGTAAGCTTCTCTCCATGTTTGGTTTTCTGCTGGTCACGTCAGCACACTCTGTGTCATGCAGTGTGTGTTTATTGGTTGTATTTTGGGTCAAAAGCGGGTTTGCCAGGAATCAGCTTCCTCAGCTGCCAGCACCTTGTGCTGCAGCTGCAAAATTGTCCCCCCTTTGTCTTCCCCATGCTGCATGGAGAGATGGCAGCTTCTTTCCCAAACAAGGGTATTGAGCAGTGGGCATTTCAGTTTAGTGGGCCATGTCCTGGATCTCTAAATGCTCCACACCCAGACATGCCTTGGACCTCCTAAAAATGCGGGTTCCTTCAATCCCCGTGTCCCTCCACTGTGCTCATGGAGGGACCGCTCTGGCTGGTGCTTCCGGCCTGGCTGCAGCAGTGGCTGGACCGCTGGGGATTCCTCTTTATTTTACTGTAGCCAACCTCCTGAGCTCCCGGTCTGCTTTGAATGTCCGGTTTTAAATTCCAGGGGAGTCCCCTGGTTCATGCACCTTGCAGAGGAGCTGCCTGTGGGCTTTCTTGGTTTCACTCCACAGAGCAGTCGGGAAAGCGGCCTCCTCTTTTCCACCATCTTGAAACTCCTGCAGCCTGCGCTTTCTTGTCTTGCTTCTTTGATTTCCTCGGGGAGAGTCAGAGTGAATTTTAGGACGGCCGTTCTGCGTGCTGTGGCTAACGCCCTGCCAACTGCTTGCTGCTTTTTCCTTCACTCGGGGGAAGAAGGAACAAACAGGAAACAGAAAGCTGGGGAGAAGGCACTCTTCCCAGCCCGGTCTGGACCTCAGGCCTTTCCTTCATGTCCTTTTAGAGTCTCTTTCATGGACTTTCTGTGTTCTCTGACCAGTACAGTCCCTCAGCCCACAGGGGCTGGTCTAGGACCCCACTGGTACCAAGCCCAAGGATGCTTAGCTCCCACGCGGATTTGCATGGAACCTACACACATCTTCTCATGAACTTCCATCATCTGTAGTTGACTTGTATCACCTACGGCAACATAAATGCCACGTAGATAGTTGTTGTTCTGTATTGTTTGGGGTATAACAACAGGAAAAAAGCCTGCAGGTGCCTAGTACAGACACTGTTTTTTCCCCAATACTTTTGGTCTGCAGCAGGATGACCCTGTGGAGACAGAACCCACAGACACGGACGGCCTTTATGCTCAGCCAGAGGCCCAAGGGGGGCCCACGAGGCATACTATCCCCTCAACATGACTCTGCCCTGAACTCCTACGGCCTGGGCTTCCTGGGCCTCTGCCTGTCTCTTTGGAGGCACTGGCCTCTGTCTGCATCCCATCCTGCGGCCACCAGGGGGTGTGCTGGGGCAGTCACAGGGCGCTCTTTGTTACCCGTCTTTCTTCATATATTTTGCCCAATGTTTTGGTTGTTCCAGGTCCAGGAGCACAGCTGCCCGCACTCTCTCTACCTCTCACTGGAAGCAGAGATGCTCCACGCCCGTCTTCATCTCTCCATGCTTCACTGTTTTCAGCTGCTCTCTTCTTTGCACTGAGCCTGTTCCCTTTCCATCAACTTACTAGCCAAGCTCCTCCATCTGTAAAGTAAGCACACGAGTGTGCGTGCACACACACACACACACACACACACACACACACACACACACACACACACCACGGCGACCTGCTGTAGGAAGACACGGGCAACTGGAGGAGGATTCTTACAAATCCCCGATGATAAAACATAAAAGGTCAATCGTTTTTGTCCAACAGCAACCCCTCACAAGCCAAGGGCCGTGGGTGTCGTGAAGCCAGGTGGGAACCATCGTCCTTGTTTCCTGTGCTGTGTGGGGAGAGGAGGGGGCTCTCCACGCCATGCAGGTGGGCATTCATGCCACTGGGCTCCCCGTGGACGCTCTGCCGACAGGTGTAAAGAGGCTTGAAAGTGAGCTTGCCGGCCCCAAGTCTACTTCTAGGCGCTCTTTCTGACGTTGAGAATATGGACAACGGTTTAGGCTCCACCTTTCCTGCATCCTGTCTACACTGGTGGAAAAGCCGAAGGCACAGGGAAGGCCGCAGCGGGAAACTGGTCAACAATCTGAGACACCCATAGCTTTTGTGTGTGTGTGGTCGGTAGGACAGCCTGGATAAAACGTGAAAGATGTGATTTTAAAATAGGTAGTGTATATATTAAATATATATACATATCATATGTAAAGTAAAAATAGAGTTTTCAAAACAACAATACCACATAGTCCCATCCTGGTTTTAAAAAATCAGTGTGTAGAAAACGATGGCGCCCTACCATATCAGCGCTATTTCTAACTGGTGAATTGATGAGTGTGCTTTTGTCTCCCTGGGTTTTCAGATCTTTCTATCATAAACATATATTATCTTCATAGTGAAGAGTAGGGTTATTTTTCAGTTATTTAAAATGTTTAGTAAATATGTGTCTTGATGGCGGTACAGGCCACGACCGGCAGCCTCCTCCAGGAAGGGCCAGGTGCTGATGACCTTAGGTGTCGCTGATTCATGGTGCATGTGGCTGCCCAGCCACCGGAGCACCCGGTGGCCGTGGACCTCACACATGAGCAGATGTGGCCATGTTCCAGTGAAACTTGATGTCCAAAAGGAAGTGGCAGGGCATTGGCCCAAGGATGTCCTGGCTGATAGCTGCTGTGGGCACCCAGGGCTTGGGGTGACCGAGGGCCGTGCCCACAGGCCTTCCTCGTTGCCCATCTTTGCCTGGGCCCTTAAAAGTCCACTAGGCAGAAAATGTACCTTCTTTACAGAGGACCCAGGGCTGTTTCCCTCGTTTAAAACCACTCTTTCAGACCGTTACTCCATTATTATTTTGACTTGTTCTTTCCTCAATTGAGAGGATCACATTCAGCCCCAGGATCTTGGGGCTCTAATCACAGGAAAATTAGATGCTTGGCGGTGTTATTTGGGGGGCTGAGTAGTCGTTTCTGCAGTTAGACAGGAAAGAGGGACAGCAAGGCCTATTCCTCTGTCGTTCTCAGGGTGGAGCTCAGGGCTCTCTCTGTCATTGAGTCTTGACAGCAGTGTCCTTCCCCGTGGTTCTCCTTGTCACCGCGTGTCGTGAACTAGATGCTGCATCCTTTGGGTTGGGGTCCCCCAGATGCTGAAGACCCACCCGTGGGACACAAGTCGGGCAGGGAGGGTGTGCTGAGCCAGGCTGACTCCAGGGTGGGACGTGAGCTCCGGCTGGCGCTGCAGAGGACACAGCCATGGGCCAGGCAGGCACGAGTAGATTCCACTAGAATTCCCGCCCCCTTCCTCTTCCTCTGAGGACACTCAGCAACGCCACTTAGCTGGCTCCCAGGCCCAGGCCCAGGTGCTGTCCCCTCCGTGGCACTGCAGGCTGTGGCTGTGCGTGCCCTTCTGCAGGGTCCCCTCCTCTCCGTGGCCCCAGGCCCTGCAGACCTCGGAAGGCGCTGCCCTTGCTGTGCGGGCCTGGATCCCTGGAGGCACGCTGTCCCAAAGCCTCCCGGCTCCCAGCACTAGGAAACCCCAGCCTTTGGGACCCCAATGTGCTGCAGGGAGGTGGCAGCCAGGGTCCTCCGTGGCTTGCTGAGCTCAGAGCTGTGCATCTCTCCCCTTCTGTCTCCTCAGAGATGGCAGGTGCTCCAGTGTCTGAGATCGCGGGGCCCTTCTCCACCGAAGACATAGCCAGCAACTGTGTCCCCGCCCAGGCTTTGAATGACCCCATCCTGTGGATCGTCTCCTACACCCTCATGAGCGTGTGCGGAGTCATCCTCCTCATCCTGATCCTCCTGCTGCTCATCCCCTTCCAGTGCCGGCACACGCCCCGCGACCCCGAGGTAGTCAACGATGAGTCCTCTCTCGTCAGGCATCGCTGGAAGTGAAGAGCCACGTCTGACTCTCTGACCTTGACCTTGGCTCTCCACAGGACTCGGCGTCCAGGGTCGGGCCAGGCTCCTTCCTCTGTGCGTTGGTGGGGAATCTCGTCCTGCTCCCACATGCCTTCCAGATTCACTGTACCTTGATTATTCTTGATCTTAAAGCTTCCGGTTCTTCTTTCCTACTTCCAAGAAAAATGGTAATAAAAAACACCTCATTCTAAACCAAAATGGAGTGGATCCGGCTTCAGGCTTTACGGAGCTGCAAACTGACCAGGTGTGCCATCAGAAAAAAAAAAAAAAGAAAAGAAAAGAAAATGGCCAGCCATGACTGGCTTTCTTTCTCTAACCTCTTGAAAAATGTGTGTGCAGAGGGCTCATAACCCTGTGGGCTTCCTGGGAGCTTTTGTATTAACAGTATCTCAGGGTGTTTTGCACCAGGCTTTGGCGTGGGTTGGGTGGCAACATGGTGCAGGAGGAGCCGAGGCCCCAGCCCTCACCAGCCTCTCCTGAGACGCGGGGCCTCCTTCCTGTTGAGGCACAGGTGAAGGGGACCTGCTCTTTTGTACCCAATGAAGCTGTGCTACTGTTGGTGGAAAGTTAAAGTACTACCTCTATGACCTTGCCCAGGGTCCTGAGACTGGGTGGGTGGGGCAGCTTGATGCCAGCTGTGCCCTCACCCGCCAGAGTCCTCATCCCACCAGGTGAGAAGGGTCCTCTGAGCTTGGTTCTGTGGCCATGCTGGCCGGGACCACACGCCCTTCCTCCTGCGCGGCTCAATTAGCAGGGCCTTCAGGAGCGAGACAAATGCGACTCTGACGGCAGAGCTGTTTCTGTTTCCAGGTCTTCTCTGGAAGTGGGTGGGTTGGACCCCTCTGGGAAACAGAGAAGTGGCTAAAGGCCCACGCTCTGACCCACTGCGGGGAAGCCAGGGGAGGGACGCGGAGGAGCTCTGACTCTCCCTGTGCTCTCAAGCCATGTGCTTCCCTCCGAGAACCGCGGGGCTCAGGGCGATTGCCTGGATGCGCTCAACCAGAGCTGTTTGGCCGTCGGCCTTTGTGCATTTGGCCTTTGGTGACAGGTGTTTAGCGGAGTCCTTGTTTGGGGGGAAATCCCCACTTGCTGTCGCTCATTTGAGGCCTTTGCCAAAGAGAAGCGGAGCCTTAACTCGCTGCAGCCGGCTTACGTGACCTGATGCAATCAGAAGGTCCCAAGCCCGTCTCCTGTCTCTCCACTTTGCAGTGCTCCTGGGGCGGGTTCGGGGTGTTATAGGATTCCTATCAGCAGTGCTAAGCACCCCTCTCCCCGGCAGGAGTGCTCTTGTGTGTGTGGACGTTCAAGCCACCTGTCCCTGAGTCGCCTCCATATTGAGAAGTACATGACCATGCCAAAGAGACATGGGGGCCACCCAGGCAGGTCCTGGTGAGCTCGTAGATGCTGGCTAAAGAATCTTCTGTGAGATTCCCGAGGGGGAAGAGCTGAGCTGGATCTGAGGAAGCTGAGCACACAGAGGGGAGAGAGGAGTGTCCTCGCCTGCTCTGGTCTTGGCTGGCCTCTGCTAACCATTTCAAAATGTGTTGCGGAGCTAGACATCTCTGGCAGTGGATTTCACTTCTTATCCCGATGACTTCTCCATGGATTCCTGTTTTGTGGGCCTCTTTGTATCAAAATGAAGCCAGTTATCCTAGACTGCACTTCCTCTTTGCTGAAAAAAATCTGACCCCTGAAATAACAGGAGGGGTGCAGGGTGTGGCCGGCATCTGGGCTGTGGGTCCTGGGGCAGGTGCCGTCTGTTCCTCTTTGCTCTCCTGGTTTCTGAGTGGGGATGGTTCTGCCGCTGCAGATCAGCAGGCACACCTCTCAGAATACAGGAGCCTAACAAATCAGGTTCCCCGGAGGCCCTGGATGGAGTTTGCAATAATGCTCTTTGCTGCGCATCTAATTTCCCTACCTTTGCATCTCCGATGCCATTGGATGTGACATTTTAATGGGAATGCTTAAATTACAAAAGCATAATTTAGCAACAAGAGTGGAACAGACAATTGAATTTAGGACACTTTCCTGGCATGCATTGCAGCTGAAAATTGGACTTTGAGTCCAAACTGTGATAGTGACACCCACCTCCTCAAGTTATGTAAATTGAGACTGCCTGACACACCCGCAGACAGATTTGCTTTGAACAGGAAGGGAGGCTGCAGTCCTTTGAGGGTGTCATATTTTACCTTGCAATTCACCATGGAAGGTTCTGGAAAACAGCCCTGGCCTGAAAGGAGCAACTGAGCAAGTGCATGTTAGAAGCCTCCTCAGCTTCAGAGTGGAGCAGGTTCTCCATGAACCAGCTTATTTTAAGTAGCGTGCTGCTTCCGTCTTGATAACTTACTCAGAAGTCTGAAGTGAAGCCCTGCCTTCGGAAACTGGAACTATTTATAAAATACAGCAAGAAGCGAGGTGGGGGTTGAGTCTATTTCCCCCTTGGGAATTTAAAGGAACCATGAGTGCCTGGTATCTGATCCGCTGGCACATGTCCCACGCCCTATTGCCTTTCTTCTGAGCCCAAAACAAGTGCCTGGCACTGAAGAAGCCGTGCCCTGTGCACCACCCCGGGTGCTCCAGCTCAACACTGTGCTTCTGAGCCCGGAGAAGGACTCTCCCGGCTCATCCTGAAGCCCAGAGGTTTGAGTTGGAGATAGCCTTGGGGTCAGTGATCAGAACGGTGGAGCCATTCCCAGCAAGACAGCGGTAAGGACGCCATGGAGCTTGGAGCCATGGATTTGGGGAATTCGGCTGCAATTAGGGGATTCATTCTCTCCCTTAAGAGGAGAAAGAAAAGGAATCATTTAATTATTTAGTCAAAAATGGGGGTTTGTTGAATTCTTCATGCCACATCCCATTTGGTGGATCTGCCACACAGGGTCCCATCCTGAGTTCTGGCTTCCTGCCGCTCCATGTCCCCGGGAATAAGTCAGTGCCAAACTGCGTTTCATAACCAGGAGTAATTGGGTTTCACGGCCTTTATCCTTATTAGTGGAAATCAGATAATTAGGTAGAAACCCAATATGTTTTCTCTTGCACAAATTATTTAGAATTGATTATGGAACCATTCAGGGGAAAAAAAAACTTACCCTAAGAATTTTTTTCTTTTTTTAAAGAAAAACTGCCCAACACCAAAAAAGGTACAGTTGTGGGGTCTGCCAAGGGAGAGACTAGATTTTTAGTACTCGATAAACTCCACAAATCTCTGTTAGGCTTAACATTTTTTAGACTTGAACTTGTGATTGTTTATCAATTCAAAAGCAAAATCTGGAAGCATTCTTTGGGGGTGGGGGAGGGGATGGTGCAATTCCCAGTGTGCCGACTGACGGGGAAGCAGGTGGGACGCCTTCAGGAAACGTGCTTTCATTCCGGCCACCTCAGACTTCTTTCTCACAGTCGCTGGGTCTGTGGAGATGTGATCTGCTTTAGAGATCCAGGCCCCAGATGGCAAGGATACTCATGACTGTGTCCCCCTCAGCATTAATGGCCTGAGACAAGGTGGGCTGGTAGCCTGGGAGCTGCCCACGGGGGAGGGATGTCCATCCCAGAGACAGAGTGCAGGGTCATCGGTGTTTGGTGGACTCCGGGAAGAGGGCGGGACAGGAAGGAGCCAGAAGAGAGGTGGACCCACAGTCTGCGTTTGTGCCAAGACACTGTGGGCTGCTGTCCCAGGGTGCTCTCAGGGTCCTGGCCCTGCCCGCGCTGTAGTGATGTCCCAGAGGGTCCTCTCAGACTGGTCACTGCAGGAGAGGAGACAAGAGACTGAAGGAACTGGCTTTATAGCCACATTTAGAACCCTGTTCTAGCAAATAGAGAGGCCCAAACTGCCCAGCAGGACCCAGGCCTCAGCCTGCAGGTCCAGGGCTACGACTGAGGACTTTGGAAGGCAGGGTCAAGAGACTGAGGCCACTATGGGGCCTGAGCTCCTGGGAAGGGCTCCTGGCAGCTGCTGCCTGGATATTCTTCCCGAGAACAGAGTCACTCGGGCCAGCCCAGCCACTCTGACCACACTCCTTTCCCAGACACTTGCAGAAAGAAGAACTTGAGGGAAGCCAGATCCTTCCTCAGGTCACTGCTGTCCGCCTCCGAGCCCTGCCCCAGGGTGGCCCCCAGCCTCAGCAGCCCTAGCAGGTCCAGGAGGCCCCAAGGGAACCTCAGTCCTATCCAGAATCAGCGTGGGGCAGGGCCACACTGAGAACAGGCCAGGCCCTTCCCTTGGTACAGGTGTGCGTGTTTCAGATGAGTGGGGCCAGGCTGGCCGGTACACAAGACGCACCCACAGAGCCCACACGTCACAGACCGAACAGAACCTTGCTGGTATGGATCTGTAGCTCTGCTGTATCCTCCCAGGTGCTGGGTGTGGGGTGCAGACTTGGTTTCAGGTGACATGGCTGTGCTCACAGCGGGGCCTCTAGAAGGAGACCAGCAACCTGGGCCTCTCTTGCCACCAGCCCCACTTTGACATTGATGTGTGTCCGGGGTCTCCAGCGAGCTGGGAGACAAGTTTTTGTTCACAACACAGGCACAGACGGGCGTATCACGAGGAGCCCAGTGTCCCCCCGTGGCCAGGCCTCTTTCTTTCTGGTAAAGGCCAGCTGCGGACTCTGAGCTGTCTCCTGATGTGAGCGGGTCTCCACCTGTTACATCTTGGGGCTCCACAGAAGAGAAATTCCACAGGTTTCACGCCTCTGAGCTGGGCTCCAGAGCAGTGTTCAGAGGGCATTCAAAGGCTGTCTTCTTTTGAGGTCAAGGGGGTGGGGGGAACTGCTAATCAAGGATCTGTTAATCGATATTAAAAATCACAATAAAATGTATTAACAAATTGTCTGCAATTTTGTGTTCTTTGTTGCTAGGGGTATGGAACTGGGGGTCACCTCCCCCCACCACATTTTCCTAATTGTGGATGCGATGTCACACGTGGTCATCAGCAAGGGCGGAAGTTCTGTTTGGTGTAGCAATTGCTCGGTACACGTGAGCACCCGGAGAATGAACGGGATCTGTCACGTGCTAATGACAGATTCATGGGATCTAAAATGACATATTTTCTACCATTTCTGTTCATCTTTACTGTTGACCATTCTTGAGGTTTAAAATGCCGATGTGGGGGCATTGGGAGGGGCCACTCATCTCTCCTTAAAGTGACGGGCTCACTGCCACGTGGGCAGTGGCCGTTAGGGTTCTGGTGGAAGAGCTTCCAGCCTGCACTGAATTCTAAGCAGATGCCAAAAGTAGAGTCTGGCAAGATGTATTTTATGCATATCTCAGATTTATATCTTTTAACACAT